GTCCCGGGGGATGGAGATGGGGACCAGAGCAACCTCAGGGCTCTGGCAGCTGTTGGGTACCAGTTCCCATAGTGGGTTAAACTGCCGGCTCTCTGGCTGTCTTAACTCCTTCCCCTCTGCCCTTGCATCTTGTATCCCTGCCACTGCTTTTCCAGTATTAAACATACCTAAATTATACTGAACATAGAGGTGCTCCTGCTCTCAAAACATGTTTGCTGATCTTGCCTCCTCTTCCCCTTTTTTCCCTAACAGAAATTGATTGTCTGATTAAACTCCCATCACCTGTGGATTACTGGGATCCAGTGTTTGGCATCTGTGTCTTTCTCTTCTCCTTTATGATCCCCGTGTTGATCATAACCATCTGCTACAGCCTCATGATTAGGCGACTCAAGAATGTCCGTGTCCTCTCAGGCTCCAAGGAGAAGGACCGAAACTTGAGGCGCATCACCCGAATGGTCCTGGTGGTGGTGGCCGTCTTCATCATCTGCTGGACTCCCATCCAGATCTTCGTGCTGGTGCAGTGCTTGGGTGCCAAGGCAGAAAGCGAGCTCGAGTTGGCCATCTCCTGCTTCTGCACGGCGCTGGGCTATGCCAACAGCAGCCTGAACCCGGTGCTCTATGCCTTCTTGGATGAGAACTTCAAGGCGTGCTTCAAGAAGTTCTGCTTCCCCACTGCCTTCAGGACCGAGCTCCAGATGTCCAACAGGATGTGCAGCATTGCCAAGGATGTGGCTTACGCCTGCAAGAACTCGGAGGGGACTAACAATCCGGCCTGACTAGGCATGGAAATTCCCATGGTGGCTGTCGCCCAGCAGAGTCCGACCACCCCCACGTCAGAGCTAACTCAGATAACGGCTCTTTAGCAGGACCTCAAAACTGAGAGGCAATTCTGGGGGTTGGGAAAACCGGATTCTGCAAGAGCATGCAGAAAGTGAGCCAAATTGATGCATTTTTAATTCTCACGCGCTCTGCGCTGCAGAATGTGTTTGAAACCAGCCCTTTGATTCCCGAGAACCCCTTGTGGTTTGCAACACTATGGAGACTTTGGGAATTAAGGGGTTTAAGCCAGGCATTGCTCCTGGGCTTTACATCCTTGCTGCTGGGAGGCAGACAAAATGCAAACTATTCTTTTTCCTCCTTGAGCTGTTTAAGATGCTATCGGCTCATATGGCTCACCAGGCACTCGCGTGTGGATTTTATTCCTGCGGCATTGCTCTGAAATTAGACTTTGAAGCCAACATGGGGATCAGCTGTCAGACAAAACCCTAGATCATCTCCAGGGTGAGTCATCATGCAGTGAAGGGAGCAGAGGATGGGCTGATGGAAGGGGAAGTTCAAACTGTCCGGAGCTGGGTGAAGCGCCGGGCTGGGAGCCTTGGCGCAAAGCCTGGGGACAAGGACAACGCCAGCTCCTGCGGCTGGAGGTCTGCAATAAACCCTCTGCCTCGAGCGGTGGGAAGAGACTGTCAGAGCTGATGAATGTAGCTCGGAAGAGGAGAGATGGATGAAATGAACACAAATCCATGTTTACTTGCTGCTACTGCTGTTTTTTATTTTAACTCTGCATTTTCAGTATAATAGTGGACAGTGTGTATCTATATCGACACACGCACTTCTCCATATTGCTATGGGTATAGCTATACCTATACCTCACTGAATTTCACCTTGCCAAGCATGCCTTGGAGAGCTTTCCCAATGAGGAGAAGGAAACAGTGGCCTAAACATCAGTATGTTTCTGTATAGGGGAAAGCTGTTTTGAAAGAGCTGGGCTGGCAGGTCGTCCTGGACATTTCTTCTAGGAGGGGCAGCATAGGACATTGCCATCTGCTCCGTTTGAGGAATGGTGTACAAAGCCTGTCAAAAAGGTGGAGTTTCAATTATTTATTTATTCATTTGAATGAAGTGAAGGACATGAAGTGGGGACACAGAGTCCCTTTCCCCTTGTGAGCTCTGGAGATGCTGCTGAGGAGTCACCCCTCCTGCCAGCTGTGGATTGATTTTTAGTTTGACTTTATTATTATTTCCTCTCCCTTCCCAATAACACAGAAATGTGTTGAGATGAAATGCCTTGCCATTTCATTTGAAAATAGAAGCACTCGGAAGAGTTTAAACTCCAACTGCCCTCTGTGCAGGCTGCCTTGTATTCTCCTTGTCCTGGGAAATCTTGGGAGCGGCAGTGAGTGGAGCTGACTGGGAATAAGGTCAATTTGGAGAGGGATGGTCAACTCCAGTGTGAGAAATGGCAGCAGATGCTGAACTGTACAGTCTTCATGTGAATATACTGTGCTCTGGTCTATAAGATTCTGTATTTTTAATGTATTGATTTGCCAGTATTTTAATGCCGTCATGTTCTTTATATATGCTATATAAAAGATTACAGTGTTATATTTCTAGGCAGAGAGTTTCCCTTATGGTTGAGCTTAAAATATAGATGCAATTCCAATGTCCCACATGTGGGGCCCAGATTCCCTGTAAACTGCATGAACTGGAGAATGCTCTGGCTAATTAGCAGTTGATTGGGAATCTGGAGGGATATTGGAGAAAACTTGACAAACAGCACCTCTCGAATAAATGGAGAGAGGTGGAAATCTGGGCACTTTGAGCACTTTTCAGTGGACATTAACCCCCAAGCACTGCCTGGAAGATCTTGTACAACCACCCAGGCTAAAACCCCAAGTGTGCCAAGAAGCATCACCCAAGAACCTCACTGCTGCCACCACATCTCTGCCCCTGGAAAATCACATTAGTGGCTCTTATATCTACAGATAAAATAGCAGTGTTGGGCAGTGAACAACCTTACTCCTTCTACCCCTATTTGCTGCCAAGAGCTGTGCATGAAGCTGTGAAACAGCCGCAGGGCTCTTCTTGCAGCGCCCTTAGCGAGCCGGAGCGCACACGGCAGCGCCTTGCTGAGGAGCAGCCACCCTCCCTTTTTAGTTCTCAGTTGGGTTTTTAAATAGATTTATGTCCTCTAAAAATTACACCAGTATTTGGCAATTTTTATAATTTTGTTATAATGACTATGCTGCAATGATCTTGCATAATGGAGTACTCAATAAATGTGCGTTTACTAAGCTTTTGGGTAATTTTGTGGCCCTCGCAGTGAATGTGTTTAGACATTCTGTTCAATGCTCAGTGGAGTTTGTTATAAGAGCAAGGAACCTGAAAGCAAAAGCTTTATTGTACTGTGCCTCTGGAGTTAAAGGCTCGTGAGCAGCCGGGTGGCTGAAATACGGGCTCTTTAGTTCTCTGAAATGGTTGTGTTCGTATGATTTTACAATTACTGCAGTTTCCTAGGTGGCTACTTGTGTGCTTTAATAAAGGAAAAATAAACCTCCTGTGTTCTGAATGCTGTGGGATTGGAGAGATTTAATGCTGTGGAGCGATGTTGCTGGCATGTTTGCATGTGGACTTATTTTTCCAGCTGAAACTATTGCTGACCACACAGGGTAAAATTGAAGCATCCTTCTGGTGAGGTTGGTGGGAACTTTTGTGTTGGCTTTCTCTGGCAGCAGTTTGGAAACCGAAGGGGTGAAGATGATGGAAAATGGGCAGTGGAAGATGCCTGTGAGCTGCAAAGTGCTTGTCATGCTGCCTGGAAGGATGGATAAGCCAGTGAGCTGTGCAATAGGGAGAAGTGTCTGCTTCCTTTACCGAGATGGATATTTGCAGGTGTTGGGTGACACCAGGAGGGTTTACTCTATTGGGGATGTTAATTTTTTTTTTTTACAGGAAAAAAAAAAGTGCAGATGAGCAAAAGTCCCCAATCTTTATGTCTGTTCAGTTTAGCAGGTAATAGGCATCGAGGGGTGAGTTCTTAGGACAAAACCATAAGATAAAAAACATCTTATTTGCAAAGCAGGCTCTGCTGGAAGAACCCCATCTGCTTCCCCATGTCTTTCAGTTATTTTTGCTGCTGTGGCTGAGCAGGCTCCTCCTCATGGAGGA